ACTTACTCATATCTAGGAGCTGGAAGATTAGTGAGTGGAACTATGGAACTGTTTAGACAAAACTTCCAAATACAAATTTTCCAGCCTTTTTCGTTATAGCGATTTTGTCATCTACAAGACAAAAGAGAGGTTGGCTGAGGAGAATGAAGATTTATTGATATGATGCATGTATTCTTATCATATGCACATTATAATTTCATCATATAAAAAAATCATCATAAAAACTTATCAGCACTCGGTCTAACTGCCTAACTGGAAGTCTGACTTCTTCCATGTTTAATAAAACTTGTTTATTTTCTCTCTACTCTCTCTTGCTGAACATGTAAAGCACATGGGATTACTAAAGAAAAGTGTGGTCTGAAGATTACCTATGTAGAGTAGGCTCTTGGGTCCCTGCTTTTCTGGTTTACCTGAAACTATCATCCTTATCCAGCTCATACAATGTAGTCTTCTGTAATATATACTTATCAGTAATCAAGTAATCAGTAACGGGGTGACATTCCCTGTCTTTTGCCTCCATCCTTCTATGACCAAGTGCTAGGTATAATGTGATTAATGTAATTTCCCAATAGCTGTTCAGTCAGTTTAGTTAAATACATCTGGTGTTTATTTTTTTACTGATTTTTTTTTCATAAGTAGGTATAATATGCTGACATCAAATATAAGGTAGATACATACTAAATATTGATGTATTTTCATCTCCTTTAACAGCAATAATGGTAGAATTACTTGTTAATAGAGAGCATTAGTCTGACATCTTTCACAGGCAAGTACTTTCAATTTTCAGATACTAATTTCCTGATTCGGTCATTTGACACAGATGAGCACATCTGACAGATGCACTGGCATGCAGGAATTGCCTTTCTCAAAAAACAGCTGACTAAAACTTTACTGCAATGTCTCAGTATGTTCAGAGTCTGTACATGAAACTAAATCTGGGAGGTGGAGTTAGGAGACAGGATCAGTCTTTTTATTCATGTACCACATGAAAAGGGAAAGCTGTACACTTTTATATGCTTAAGCTATTTTTTTATTTGTATGTTTATTTAACCATAGAAAAAAGCATAATAGCTAGAAATGGAAGACAACATATACACCCTTCCGTTTTTATGTATGTGAGGTTGTTTATAGATTAAAAAAAAAAAAAACAACAAAAAACAAGCCTAATCTAACATACAGATTTCCTGAGACAGGTGTTGATTTTGGGGGGGGGGGGGGGGGGATGGTGAATGGTTGAATAGTTGAGCATACAGTTCATAGAAAATTACTGAAACAAAGTTTCTGTTATAAATAACAGACTCATTGAGTGGGTCAACTTCAAAAAAAAAAAAGGTTTAAACTCCTATGCCATATATGCAGATATATGTTGCTCTCTACCTATCTATGTTTGTTCAGTATAACTTCTATAGAGAATATTTATACTTGCTGTATTAGCCCCATCTGGTGAATTCTAACAGCATTGCAAACTAGAGAGACTTCATGCTGAACTCCCATGTTCCAGCTCGTAGGTCGGTAGCAAGGCATACACAGAGACCCATATTCCTCCTTTTGCCTACTGCAGCAATAATGCAAGCACCAAGGAGGAAACCTCATTAGTGTGTTAGTAACATAGTTTCTAAGCTTCTCCTTTGCTTTAATGGATTGATCTTACAAGTTAGGGTGCTACTATCTTCATTTGCATTCAAAATCATGAAGAGTACATTAACACACTTTAGCCAAACAGCCCCATTCACAAAGAGAGCATTTCTGTTCTTCAGCGCTCTTTGAGGAGAGGCCATGTGTGAGCAGCAGAATCAGCTGCTCTTGCAGAACATCTAGCTTTAAAATTCTTCCTGAGGGGGCTGTGGTTCCAGTTTGCATAGCTGCAAAGGGATGTCACCCTTCAATGAGTTCATTTCAGAGCAGCTGTTAGTGGACACAGTTATGGGCAATCTGCTCTAAGCGGCCCTGCTTGAGCAGAGGGGTTGGATGAGATGACCTCCAGAGGTTCCTTCCAACCTCAAACCTTCTGTGATTCTCTAAGTTTACCCTTATCATTTGTATTTGTTCAATATCAATATAAGTCAACACTATTTTGAGTAGGTAGCATTTTACTTACCTTCTGTAGGGATAAATTATAAAAGATCTTTTGAAGTGCAGGATCAGGATCATAGTTTCTAAACAACAAAGGAGGAGGCTGCTTGCCTCCAACATATGGGCTAGCAAACCCAGTCAGCCTTTGGTATGTCAAAGTAATACACCCTCAGCACCTGTCTTGACTTGCTCCATGCCTAAGAAGTCTTGATCAGTTTCTCTCTACTCTTCCTCTCCTTCTGCATGTCTCTACCAAGTAATGGCTGATTTTTATAAAAAAGCTTGGATTTAAGGTTACCTACATAGAGTCTATTCTGCAGAAAGGTAACAGTGATTCTTTTACTGATAGATAAAGATAACAGTGATTCTTTTACTGACAGGCTTAGCCATGAAGATTAGTTGCTCTGCTAAGGTAAGCTGAAATGTGGCTACAGTGTGTTTCTTTCCATCACTTCCCTTTGGAAAATTCAAACATAATCTTGTCATAATCTTCTTAGTCACCCTAATTCTGTTTCTTGTCTTCTCTCTTTCCCACAGCTGTGACAGAATACAACTATGGGCAAAATAAAACCAGCTAATAGTGAGACACAAGGCTCTCATGGTCTTTACTCAAAACAGATTAATAAAGTGGGTTAAGCATAACTTACATAGGAACATTAAATATGAGCATATCTTAAATAGAAACTCTACATCTTTGGGTGGTTTCAGGCTTGGTTATCATTAAATGATCAACAGAAGGCACTCTACAACACTTCAGTAAAATGTGATGCCTTGCAGTATTATTCTGACTTTAATGGATTGTGAGTCCATATTAGTCTCACCATTATACCAATTAAGCAAATATCTCTTATTTTCCCAGAAAAAATTCAAACTTATTCATAAAATTAAATCATTACCTCAGAGTGTACCTATACAGGTGGCCTTTCAGGTAAAGGACAGTGAGAATCTCCAGTCTTTCTTGTTATTTTGCATAACTATAAAATTTAAACTATGGCATGTCCCAGAATGTAAATGGAAAATTAATTAACGATAATAAATCAAATCTTGTGATGATTTTTCTTGCTTTGTAATACAGTCATTGAATCACAGAATCATAGAATAGTTAGGGCTGGAAAGGACCTTAAGAAACTAAGGACCTTAGTTTCAACCCCCCTGCCATAAGCTGGGACACCTCCCACTAAACCATGCCACCCAAGGCTCTGTCCAACCTGGCCTTGAACACTTCAGGGACGGAGCATTCATAAATTCCCTGGGCAACCCATTCTAGTGCCTCACCACCCTTACAGTAAAGAACTTCTTCCTTATATCCAATCTAAACTTCCCCTGTTTAAGTTTTAACCTGTTACCCCTTGTCCTATCACTACAGTCCCTAATGAAGAGTCCATCCCCAGCATCCCTATAGGCCCCCTTGAGATACTAGAAGACTGCTATGAGGTCTCCATGCAGCCTTCTCCAGGCTGAACAGCCCCAACTTTTTCAGCCTATCTTTATACAGGAGGTGCTCCAGTCCCCTGATCATCCTCGTGGCCCTCCTCTGGACTTGTTCCAACATGTTGAGGACACCAACACTGCACACAATACTCCAAGTGAGGCCTCACAAGAGCAGAGTAGAGGGGCAGGATCACCTCCTTTGACCTGCTGGTCATGCTCCTTTTGATGCAGCCCAGGATACGGTTGGCTTTCTGGGCTGCGAGCACACACTGAAGCTGGCTCATGTTCATTTTCTCATCAACCAGCACCCCCAAGTCCTTCTCCACAAGGCTGCTCTGAATCTTTTCTCTGCCCAACCTGTAGCTGTGCCTGAGATTGCTCTGACCCACGTGTAGGACCTTGCACTTGGCATGGTTAAACTTTATAAGTCTAAACTGACTACATTAAAAAGCCTACAAGTTTCCTCTTGATTAAACCATTATTAATCCTATTCTATCTCCATCTTAAGTAAATTAAAAGTCAGGGAGAAGCAAAAATCCAAAATATACATTGGAGTATTAACGATACATCTGAAACAGTAATTATATCTTTTGTCCTTCACTCTCAGTACATACATCCAAAATTACTTGTATTTTTTCACTGTTTAAAAACCCGTATACTACAGTTGTATGTGTGTATAAATATACATGCAGTAAGGGTTAGACTATGTTTATCCTTATTAACACTGAACCTGTGCAAACTGAAAATCAACCCATGGATGAAGAGAAGACTCTTGCCTTCCAGGCTGAAATAGTCCCTCATCAACACTGTCTATTGCAGCAAGAAAACCTTTCTGAGGGAGCCAGTTTGCAACTCATTGGCTGCAAGCTATCTAGCCATTAATGTGACTCAGCCAGTAAAACACTGTCTGAATTCTTAAGTATATCCTGAGAATGCTTAAGCCTTCTGTTTTAGTCTCCGGACAAAATCAGACTCAAGGCCTTGACTGATCCAAACAAGCTGGATTCTGGAAATTACTAACCCAATGAGCACAACTGTATTCTCGTCATGGATTCAGGCGCAGGATGACCAAAGCTGACCCCATTACTACTGTGACTTCCAGCAGTGGAGCTTTTATGGAAATATTGCTCGTGCTGGTGTCTTCAGGACTGGTCGATTTGGGGTCAGCTTCTTCTCTGCCTACTTGATTGCAAATGTGACTGAGCTCACAAAACAAAAAAGATAGGCAGTTTGTATGTCACCTCCAATTTGAGGCTAGCTAATGTCAAGTGAAAACACTACAGAACAGCAGCAGGAGCACAGGCACACAATCTAATGTAATAGTATCTAACTTTAACAGCAAATTTGCCCTGTCTGGGAAATAATGACTGTCTGAACTTTATAAAGCAAGAGAATGAAGTTGGTAATACAGCTCCACTGATGTATTTCATTTTATAATATGTACTACATTTAAAGAAAAAAAATTAAACATAATAGATTTCCATGAGGGTTTTGAAAACTGGGGGAAATACACTTTGAAATGGTGTAATTGCTGTAGTTGCTGCATTTGTTGGAGCACAGAATTAAGTATGAAGCACCAGGTCACCATCTTCATGTAGTCAGTGATGATTAAGAATTTATTACAATTACATTAACTCTTAATTTCAGAAAAAAACTTGCTATTTGGCCATTTCTGCTGCCACTAAAACTCTCAGATTTCACTCAAGGGGAACCCCATGGCTATAGAACAAAGATTATCCTAAATCCAAAGGAAGACCAAAGAGACTGTTTGGAAGAAAGGCAAATCAAAGAAATTGTGAAGAAGCATTCTCAATTCATCAGCTGTCCAATTACACTCTTTGTAAGTGCCTTGTTTGAGATGCTAATAGTACATGCTTTGAAACACTAGTTGCATACCTAATGTCCTCGCATCATACCCAGATGCTACTAGTACAATACTAACTAAGTTGTCTTTGTATTGCTAGCATTAAAGTTTACAAGAAGAACTGGCTACCCTGGATTTGGAGAAGGCTGAGGTTCTGAATGACTTCTTTGCCTCGGTCTTCACTGGCAAATGCTCTGACCACACCACCAAAGTCTTGGAAGACAGACACAGGGACTGTGACAATGAAGACCTTGGGCCCACTGTAGGAGAGGATCTGGTTCAAGACCATCCTAAGAACCTGAATGTGCACAAGGCCATGGGACCTGATGAAATCCATCCATGGATACTGAAGGAACTGGCAAATGAAGTTGCTAAGCCACTGGCCATCATATTTGAAAAATCATGGCAGTCAGGTGAAGTTCCTGACAACTGGAAAAAGGGAAATATAACCCCCATTTTCAAGAAGGGGAAAATGGATGACCGGGGGAATTACAGACCAGTCAGTCTCACCTCTGTGCCTGGCAAAATCTTGGAGCAGATTCTCCTGGAAGGCATGCTAAGGCACATTAAAAGCAACAAGGTTCATGGTGACAGCCAACATGGCTTCACTAAGGGGAAATCCTGCCTGACCAATTTGGTGGCCTTCTATGATTGGGCTATGGAACTGATGGACAGGGGTAGAGCAGTTGATGTCACCTGCCTGGACTTGTGCAAAGCGTTCAACACTGTCCCACACGACATCCTTGTCTCTAAACTGGAGAGACATCAATTTGATAGGTGGACCACTCAGTGGATAAAGAACTGGCTGGATGGCCGCATGCAAAGAGTTGTGGTCAATGGCTCAATGTCCAGCTGGAGACCAGTAATGAGTGGTGTCCCTCGGGGATCAGTGTTGGGACGGGTCTTGTTTAACATCTTTGTTGGTGACATGGACAGTGGGATTGAGTGCGCCCTCAGCAAGTTTGCTGACGACACCAAGCTGTGTGGTTCGGATGATACACTGGAGGGAAGGAATGCCATCCAGAGGGACCTCGACACGCTTGTGAGGTGGGCTGATGCCAACCTCATGAATTTTAACCATGGCAAGTGCAAAGTCCTACACCTGGGTTGGAGCAATCCCAGCCACAGCTACAGGCTGGGCAGAGAAGAGATTCAGAGCAGCCCTGTGGAGAAGGACTTGGGGGTGTTGGTCGATGAGAAAATGAACATGAGCCGGCTTCAGTGTGTGCTCACAGCCAAGAAAGCCAACCGTATCCTGGGCTACATCAAAAGGAGCATGACCAGCGGGTCGAAGGAGGTGATCCTGCCCCTCTACTCTGCTCTTGTGAGGCCTCACTTGTAGTATTGTGTGCAGTGTTGGGGTCCTCAACATAAAAAGGACATGGAACTGTTGGAACAAGACTAGAGGAGGGCCACGAGAATGATCAGGGGACTGGAGCACCTCCCGTATGAAGATAGGCTGAGAAAGTTGGGGCTGTTAAGCCTGGAGAAGGCTACATGGAGACCTCATAGCAGCCTTCTAGTATCTCAAGGGGGCCCATAGGGATGCTGGGGATGGACTCTTCATTAGGGACTGTAGTGGTAAGACAAGGGGTAATGGGTTAAAACTTAAACAGGGGAAGTATAGATTGGATATAAAAAAGAAGTTCTGTACTGTTAGGGTGGTGAGGCACTGGAATAGGTTGCCCAGGGAAGTTGTGAATGCTCCATCCCTGGCAGTTTTCAAGGCCAGGTTGGACAGAGCCTTGGGTGGCATGGTTTAGTGGGAGGTGTCCCTATTCATAGCAGGGGGGTTGAAACTAGATGATCTTAAGGTCCTTTCCAACCTTAACTATTCTATGGTTCTATGACTGTACATTCTGTTGTGTGATAACTTATTGGTTTGTTTTCCTAGTGATAGGTTTAAGAGGACTATGTACTAGCATCCTACCTATGCGGGATAGCTATACCACGTATTGGTTGCATCTAGATGGTGAGCTTCTGATGCACCAATCCAGAGGATGACTTATAAAGCTAACGTTTATATTAGTGAATATAGCAAGACAGAATTCATGCTGTTGGTAAAATCTGCACCACTTGACAATGAAAATACGTATTTGTAGCTAAAGATCCTAAGTATGCTGGTGAATCAATAAACTCTGACTGTGTATTTTATACTGATGTATTCTAATATTGTATATTTGGAGCCAAAGAAATCTGACATATTTAGACATGCTTCTGAAAGAGGTCTGGGTGGCACTGACTAATTAGTAATTCTGGCTTTTACACCAGAATTATTATGGTTCTAGTTCCAAAACTGAGCAGAAAGCCATTTAGAAAGGTACTTTGAATGCCTGCTGTATCAGTATTATTTAATGAAAAATTTTTGCAAAACTGCAAAGTTGGAAATACTTCTCATATGACCTGTAATGATGATGATCTTGGACTTTCATTATGATCTTTGGACTTGATGATCTTAAAGGTCTTTTCCAACTTAGCCGATTCTATGATGTTCAGTCTTAAAAAGAAAGTGATATGCAGGGAAATCAGTCAAGATGGAAGTAACATGCAAATTAAATAATGTAATAGGAATGTGAACCCAGGGGTTTCTAGAGAAAAGAATGGCCCACTGTACCTTCCTGTCTTGGACAACCAGAGCTAAGGAAGCCAAGTTATCATGGTTATATTTGGTATAAATTCAGAATTGTATTTCTGTCAGATGAAACAAACTTGTAACAGTTCTGCAGAACTACAGGTAAGAGAGACAGTTCATTGTGAACAAATGGTTGGAAAATACAATTTGAGGTAAGTCATTAGAAAGAGCAGCTATGTTCTGAGGAATAAAAGCTGAAAAATCCCTGCTTTTACTATTCCAGCCCTTTACTGTTCCTTCCTGCAACTTAGCTTTGCAGATCTACTGTGAAGGACAGCAAGAACAAAACACAGAAAAATACCTTTTGTCATCATTTTTTAATAGGTTTATTCTATAATAGAAACCTTTTCTTGTTAGAGTGAACTTGCTGCTTTTATTTTAAACACTAGAAATTTTTGAAGTAACTCAAATTTGACAAAATAAAGGCACTTTCCCTATTCCATACATATCCAACTAAAGTAGAGATGCAAAAATCCTGGGCTGCCAGCAGCTGAAACAGTTTTTGTTTTGTTAATCACAGGAGTCAATGTGACTCCCACCCAGCTGAAAGAGCCATTCTGGAGGGTTTTTCCTCTCTTGTTTTGTTTTGTAAATGATGAGAGGAAAAAAAAGGCAGAAATATCTGCAGAATTATCTCCTGGCAGGTATTAAGCAGCACCACTCCAAACAAGAAATAACGTGGTGACTTCTAGCAACTCTAGTCTGTCCTACTTGTTCAATGTAGAGCATTATACTGACATGTATATTAACTGGCCTAAGAATACCCTCAGCTCAGCTGACTGCACAGCAGGATTTCAGTGTAAAGAGCCAAGTTACTTCAGATTTGCCTCAGTATGGCAGGAAGCATCTCTGAAAGAGATGAAAACTGACTTTCCCTCTGATTCACTATGCCTTGTTACTGTAGCCTACAGATAGATCTGTGTATGATTAATGAAGTACTTACACAGCTCTTGACAAAATTTCTCAAAGTACCCATTCAGTCAGCTTTAATCAGAATTATCTTACTGCTACCATTCTTTCTTTCAGCATTCTTTCATGGAGAAGAAGCTGGGATTCAGAGCTCTCATGTTTTTTCACAAGAAATAAATCTTTTGATCTGACACAGCAGGAAAGTCACATTAAACTGCCTAAGCAGAGTGTTCATCTTGGATAGCTGTGAAGCCTTTATCTATGATTATCTGAAAATACTCCATCATTTTAGTACGGGGTTTTTTTTCGGCAGCAGTATATCCCTAATAAAATGAAAGTACTGCCTGAAATATAAAAGAAAAAAAGACCCCACAAAACCAAACACCTATCATCCATGTACTAAGTAATCTACCCAGAGCATATGGACAGATTTAAACCAGTTTCTTGCCTTTTCTTTACAAGTATAGAGTGCCAAAGTAGACTATATCCTAGGTTTGAAATACTAGAAATAATCAATTTCATGGCCATGTATGGTAAATGCTAATAATCTCACATTCTGAAAAATGTGAAATCTGAACCTGCAGATTTTTTTCAGTTCCTGTGACTTCTGAGATTTTTGTTGAATCATGCTTTGTGATGAAATGTGAAACTTTAAGGCATGTAGCAGACTCACAGTATACTCCAGTGTTTTGAATTCTGAATAGCTGACTTTAAATATTTCTTTACAGATACTGCAGCACAGCAGAATTATGAAGGTGACAAGTGGATTAATAACATTCTTCAGAGTTTCCTTGACCATCACAAGGAAAGAAGATGTAAGTTTTGCAAGAAATTTTCCAGAATATGAGGTGTTCTACCTGGACACCTCTTTCAAGGAGGGCCTTACCAGATTGCTCCATCAGCAAGGATGAGCCAGGAGCCAAGGGTAAAATCAAGGCAGGCCCAAGCAGGCAGCATACTGATAAGGGTCATAATCCCACAGTACCTGAACAAGAAGAGAACTGGTGCAGTGATGTTGCACCCAATAGGTCAATGATCACCAAACGCATCTGTAATAATGAGGTATGCCTAAGGACAAACCAAGAAGTCATGTCAGCAAGACAAGGCTGGAAGCGGCAAAGTACAAGGCTGAACCCAGGCACACCTCAGGCAAAGATCAAAGCCAAGGCCCAGGCTTCAGTGCAGCTCCTAAAACGGCAAACTCCTGATCAAGGCTTCCTACAGCTTCTTCTCACACTGCTCCATTCATACTGGTCAGATCCAATATAACTTGGCTGTGTGACATCAGAGCAAGTTTTGAGCTGTAATTCAAACTCAGTCATTAACTACAAGTCCTCACTGCAAATTATTTTTAGGACCAGGTTCAACAGATTTGTACACCAATTTAACTAGAAATTCTGCAAGATTCTTTAGTTCTTCCTATTTCTGTGCCCTCTTAAAAGCAAGATGGTTGAGGTTATTACATGCTCAGTATGCCCAATAAAAATGTGTAACTGATTTTTAACTTAGATATCCCTGATTCCAGCCATTGCTGCTTTGTAAAACTAATTTCTCAACCCTTTATAAACAAAGTAAGATCTCTACACCAGATTGCTCTAATTCTTTCCCTAAATCCTCTGATTTTTAAGGTAAACTTTTCTTTGAAGGTTTTTTTTCTCTAATAATTGTACTTATTAAGCAGCAGATGATTCAGAAGTGTTCCTGAAGTATGTGAAGCAATTCAATTAATTTTTTCTTCTTGCTTTTGTTGAAGGCACTAGAACAATTTGATCCAAATATGTCTTCTTTAAATAAAATAGTATCTTATTTGTATAAAATAGTATCTTCTTTGTATAAAATCTTTTTTTATGCAAAAATGTGATCTTTCAAGTACACGTGACTCTATGAACTATTTCTCTCTGCATCTGCTTACCTGCTTAGAATCCAGAACTGGAACTTACCTTCTGTGTGTCTATTTAAAATGAATACAAAATTTGTTTCCTACTATCAACTTTTTTTGTCACATTCTCATTATCTAACTTTGAAATGACATCTGTATTCAGTAAGCTGAAAAATAAATACTATCACACCAATAATGTAGTGAAGTACAGAATATATGCTTTGTGACATAGTTTCCAGTAGTAGGTGAAACTGATGTGGCCTATTGTGTACAAGGGGGTTGTCAAAATGTACAGGGGGTTTGTCAAAATGTACAGGGGGGTACTGCTTAAGTCATAGCTGGTTTAACGAGCTCAGCAGATGTCTTATCAGACAAATACCAGAACAAAACCTCCTAGTGAGGAGAATGGGGGTTGTACAAGGAGTACTGCTTAAATCATGGCTGGCTTGACAAGCCCAGCAGTTGCCTTATCAGACAGCACTAAGATAAGGCTTCCTAGCGAAGGGAATAGCTCATTAAACCAGCTAGACATGGACCAGACCCATCCAGCTCCTAAAGAGCATGCGTGAGGACCAGAGGTAAAAAGTTCAAGCCTGAGGAAGACTCGTTTACTTCATCTTGAAGACCCCTACCCACAAGAGGAAGACTACTTACTTCATCTGAAGACCCCTGCCCAAGACCAGCAGGAGGCACTGCGCATGCGTGGAGCGCCTTTTAGCTCATTATAATATGAAGCGGGGATAGAATATGAATATGTATAGGCGTATTGTGCGACCTAATACCTATGTATGACTTTACAGGATAAATGTAAAAGGAAAACGGCACTAAGGCACGCATGCCTTTTGGAGGACCAATCCCCCGTGCATCTTCAGCTGAATAAAGCATACCTACTTTACAACTTTATCCAAGTTGTGGAGTCTATTCCGTTATCAGTAGGTATCTCCTAGTTTTAATTAATTTAGATTTAAGATTTTAGAGTCCTTAATTCTACTTTTCTGAAGGTGACTTGAAGGATAGATTTGTCACCAAATTGACCAGGCATGCAAAATAACGAGAGTGCTCCATACATCCCATACCTGCAGGTGAATATGCAACAGCATTTAGCTGTTACATGTACTAAACCAACAGCCTTTACTGTTACACAGAATGCAATTCTTAGAACTAAAATACATACATGGAAAAAAGTAGCAGGTTTATTTCCATGCTTCTTGATGCTGAGGCACTTTTAAGTAATTTTCCTAGTGATGTAACTTCACCATCAATATCAATTTTTAATGTCTTCAAGGGACGTCTCAGATTTTATGTTTCTGGGGACATTTTAGTCAAACCTCCTGCTCTCTGAAAGAGCTTGTTCTCCAAGTTCCTCCTGCTCTGATTTAGGACCTATTTAAACTTAATACCTATGAATGGAAAAAAGCTTGCAGCTCTAGATAATAAATGTTACAACTGCCACCATACCTATCATTCTTCCTCTGAAACTATCATTTTTATGTATCTATTCCTGATTTAAGGGGGATTCTGATAGGAATGACATTCTACTGTTATTCTCTAAACCAAATAACTGTGTCAACTGGTTTCTTGGACCCATGCTAGACAAAACATGGAGACATTTCAGCAAGCAGGTCCTGCGATGCTCCTGAAGCAACGAGGAGAACCAGATACTGGAAAGAAACAATTATAACTCTGTGGAAGACAACATGCCTGTGTTGGTAAGTTTGCATAGGTACAATTCTTACTTTGTACATAAAACTTCAGATTAGAAATGCATAATTATGTATTTATTCTGGGAAAGTGTAAATCATGACATAATGCATAGAACTACAAAGACAGTTTCCCTTGTTCTAGTCACAAGGGAATATTAAGATGAGGACCAATTTAAAATATCAAATCGTAGTGCTTATAAACTGAACCTAATTATTAGTTTTTTACGAACATCATATAAAGTAATTTCTGATAAGATTAAACAATTATTCTGGACCTTGTTAACATTTCATGAATCCAGGCCTTTCCATTCTCTCAGCCTTCCTATGCAGCTGAGCTTTTATTATAATTGACATTTGTTAGTAGCGGAATTGTTGACTTTTGCTACAGTAGTCTCGTACAACAGTTTAAGTCCCTTCAGAATTTCTTCTGAGAGCAATGAGTCTGAGTTATCACACTCCCTAAACACACATTTCAAGAACCTGAGGCTTTTAGAGAAGATGTAGCCATATTGCCCTTGGTCGATACAATTACTATTTCCACCTATAGCTCAGAAGTACAACTACATTTTAGGAAAGCAATTCTCTGCCTCTTAGGTACCTCTTCACTGCAAAAATATTCCAAGTGACTATCGATCCTATTTATAGTATGAATCGCTTCTTTTTGTGACTTTAAATCTTATTCTCACTTCGTCTTCCAGTAAAGCATGAGAAAGTAGGAAAAAAGCTGGCTCAAAGAACAGTTTTAAGAAACCCTGAAGCTTTGCTCAGAGATCCCTAGCCAGCTTTACATTTCATTACAGTAACACAGATTTTACATGCATAATTCCATGTATTAAACTACTTTCTTTCTACTTTGAAATCTTTGAAATCTACTGTTTAGGTAATTTCAGTTCCTGCTGTTTTGTTTTCCTTAAGTAAACCCTGAAGCGCTGAGGTAACAACATCACCAAACTGCCAGAACATGAACAGAATTAATTTTAAAGTGATGTTATAAAAGCATTAAGGCTGCAGCACCAAGCAGTCAAAAGTTAGTTAAATGTTGGACTCAGAATTCTCTATGCAAATGTAATGTAATTTCTTTGTGGCTTGTAAAAATAAAGTCTTATTCAGCAAAACAGAAGAAGCCTCTGATCAAGAATAAACCACAGTTTTTCTAGGTTATTTCAATGCTTCAAACATTACACAAATATTTTCCAGACATCTTTTACTTTGTTCTTTTTTAATTTTGTAATTTTCATAGAGCAAGGAGTTCTATGAAATTGTGTAATTAAATACTCTAACACAATTAAAATGTACATGGGGAACAAGCATGGGACTAATCCTTGGGAAAGCGAATGCAAGACTGTGGCCCATGCAGTCAGTGCAGCAATGTAACTTCCTAGCACATGCTGTTGGCATAGAACCATTTCTGGTTTAAAAAGACCCAGTTCTTCAACATTTGATTCAAATCTGGATTTTCTGAAAGCCAAAGTTTCTCAGATTCTGACAAGAAAATTGCAAATCAATTACCTGACTCGGCTTCAAATTTAGAATCAGAATTTAATATTGTGGTTGTTGGGCATTTTTACCTTTGCATTTACAGTAATGTTCAAAGTAGCAAATCTTACCAAATAAATGGCAATTGCCCCATGTGATTTATTTATAACTGCATAATCAGAAAAAATGAAATCCCATGTAACCTACCCTCAGACACTGGCTACAATAGCTGTTAAAAAAATGGAAGAATGTTTGACTAAAAACATTCCTAAGGAAATGAAGTACATGAAAAAATGTGGTCGTTGTCCGTCAGTCTCTCCATAGTAATTTTGACCTATTTAACCAATTCAATCAAAGTTAACAAAATACAGAGATCACAGAGATACTAAGGTCTACAAAATCAATAGGTGGGCAACAGAGCTGTGTGCTCTTGTTGCCTCTTTTGACGGAAGAAGGGGCAGGGAGAATTCAACTTTATCCTTGTTGTTTGCTGTTCTAACAGCCAGGAGGAAGTGGCATGGCTACAGCCTTTACCAAGCACACCTACATGCACCAGTTCTAGGCCATACTGCTTCTCCCCCAGGCAGAACATTAAAGGCAGGCAGATGAAGGATAGACAGGTTTCGGGTGATGGGGAGAGGGGTCAGGAACATCTAGGGGATATGGGAGGGAGTAAGTGTGTGTGAAGGTATGACCTGAAAATATCAGGCTCCTCGCATTTCTCTCGTTAACTACTAGTTAAATATGAAGTATATTAATCTCTTGGTTGAAAAGCGGAACTCTTCTGCTCAGATTTTCCTCCAAAATAGATAGAAAGCAAGTCTGGAACTAGTGTGTTTAGCCTAAAACTGAAGCAACACAAAACTAGGATCAGTTAAAATAGAGTAACCATAGGAACAAAGTGCCTATCTTCATAAGCCCTCACTGCATACCGGAACAGAAAGAATATAGATTATTTACAAGTCACAAAGAAAATACTTGGTTTACACAGGCACACAGGAACTTGGGTTAAGCAGAGCTAGGAAAACTTCAGATGGTTTGGCATGAGATTACTTGCTCCTAGTGCACTTGTCAAACAATTCTGACAAAAGAAATCAGTCTGCTTTTGAAGACTGCTTTCAAAAGTTGAGTAACACGATCACAAAAGGGAAAAGAGAATAATATGGCTGCTACATTAGACAGCTTAAAGGTGCATGATCCTGCAGACATATGCAAAACCTTATATATGTCTTCATATGCTTAAAATTACATCTGTCTCTAAGTCTGAATAATTGAATCCACATTAACCAAAAGATTACAGAGAAAAAGATTTTCTTAGAACAACATCTTGAATATTTTGATAAAAGTGGCACTCTTAAAATTCTGGATATCTCCAAAGGATGTCCTACTAAATAATATCCTGAATAATATTAGTAGGATATTACTGGGGAAAAAAAATGCTTGGGCGGATTTCTATAAATTGTAATAGCTTAGCAGTTCTCTGTAATACAGAAGTTATTTTTTCACTAATAAATGTTGGAAAACATTTAATGAAATCTAAATTTAAGAGGCTTTCAGCCTAAAAGGCATGTCCTATGGCATTTATACTATACCAGGACAATTTTTAATCTAAGAAAAACAGGAAAGTTCCATCATTCTGCTTGGGTATAACTGCCACACTTTATTAGGGAAGTGGTAAAAAGCCATTAAGCTCCTTTATGGAAGCAGAGAACCAAAGCAGCTGTCAGACCATTAAAATCATAATCACTATGCAAAGAAAGGAGCATGTCATATTCAGGAAATTATTTTGGTGCATATTATTTTGTAGAAGTGTGTGTGTTTGAAAGGAAAAGAAACCCATTGAGATCATAAATGTATTGAAGTCAGACTTGACGAAGGTTCAGAAAACAACCAGCTGGAGTACCCACCAAAAGGTGACCTGGACATAAGCACAGAATTGTCTAGGCTGAGTGTTGGCTGAAATCCAGCTTTTTCAGTGGCTTAGAATGGTGAGCGAATAACCTCACTCCTACTCCTCTCCTGTGTGCTGAGCAGCAGCTCATCTATACACCCTCATGTTATCATAATTAATTTTTCCTTCTAATTAAAACAACCTGCAGGACTCGGTATGTAGGCCTACTGCTTTGATCAGAGCTGTAGCACATTTTAGAAGGGCAGGGTCCTGTTAGCCATTGTACCAATGCAGATACTGATCCAGATACTGCAGAAACTACAATAAAGCAAGCTGTGATTTTAATACCTTGACAGGTCCTATATTATGTTTTACATGCATACTTAATGTATTTTCTTGTCAGATAATGATAAGTACTGAAAACTCCCTAAAAGACATAATGCTGCAACAAAACCAAGCCTGTAAGCCCCAATTCAATCAGATTTGCTTGTCTAGGCCAAACTGCAGGAAAATGGATGCTAAGAATGGTAAATTCAGCATAAGGATCTTTGGTTAAATACATTAATAGACCCAAGTATTGCTGTATCTAATTCACAGGGCACACTACCCAGTGTAATTTAGTAGCAGAAGGGCAGTTAGGCATGTAAAAATGTCATTCCCCAAAATCAGTCAGATGTCAAACTAGACAGCACTCTGGGGTACATCTAAGAGCCAACAGAAAATGCCAAGAAGTTGCACCTGGTATGAATTCTTGCTACAGAAGCAACATCTTTATTTTACTCAAGCAAGCAAATAGCTATTCCTTAGAGCAGAGAGATTGTCCAGATTCATTCTTACATCAGTGTACAGTTTTAACATGTGGCTTCACTTGGTATTTATACCCCCCAAAGTGGATCAGCTCCAACAACCAAGTTTTAGAAGCCTGCTCTAGAACATTTGCGATGCAGATCACTTTCCCAAGAGATGGAAAACCTGCATTTAACTCCCTGCTCCCAATCAGGTCACTCAGGATATAAAAATAACATCCCTGCTACAAGCCATAATCAGAGTTACTGGGTCAGACATGTGCTTTTCCTTTATGCATGATGTATGGACTTATGTACGAAGATGCCTGTAGCTGTGCCCTTTTGAAAATCAACTGAGATTTCCCAGAGATCAGATAGCCATATCCAGGAAGAGAATCCCAGTAGGCTTCACGCTTTGGCCTGTTAATTGAACAGCATTGGCATCTGACGGCTACTATGATCACTTAAATCCTTAAGTAACCGCATAGCTGTGTAGGTCTTCCGAGATTCTTCGATTTGATCACTTGAGCTTGCGCAAAAATATAGTCTAAGAAGGACGTTTTTGTTTAACTTGCAGACTGACACTGCTGGGGGAAACGCTACCACAGCATCCGTACGCCGTGATTCATCCGGCTACGCCCCGCAGCACAGACAGGTCTGGCCGGAGGGGGGGAGCGAGCACAGCCGCAGCCACCTGCACAACCGGCCTGCGGGGAACCGCCCGGCGCCACTAATCCAACCGGAACCCAGCGGGCACGGCCCGGCCACTGCGGTTGCCGCCCCGCACCCAGCTTCTGGGCCCTTCTACCCGGCGGGTGCAGCCGAGTGCTTTCCAGGCCTTTCCCGGAGCGCCACGGGGGAAGTGCAATGAGAAGCCGGCGCGGCACCGCCCGCTTCTAGGACGTTCTGAGAGGCGCGGGGCAGCGGATGACGTCACCACCGCTTGCACAACCCCCCCGGACCTCTTCCCCAACCACCACCATAAGCTGCCACTTCGCATGCGTCCTCCCCTCACCTCCCCCCTGCTCCCCGGGCAGGCGGGCCGGCCGGCGCCTGCACAAGCGGTGAGCGCGCCGCTCATTCATCCGCTTGCCCATGCGCAGAGCCCGCCCCCGCCGGGGCGGGTAAGGCAGCGGGAGACGCCTGCGCGAAACCCGCGCACCGGCAGATGCTGTTCATAAACGGCTCCAATTGGCTGCGAGCGCCTCGACCCCGCCCCGTAGCGGCGTGGCCGGAGGTCTCCGCCCTACCCCCAGCCACCCTCCCGTGCGCAGCACCGCCCCCTCCCCTGTCCCTGGCAGTGAAGGTTCCCGATGGTTCTGGAAGGAGGCGGAGCCCGGTGTATATAAGTCAAGCGGGCGGGCGGGCGCGCGCACTGGAGAAGGGACGTCCGTGAGTGAAAGTGCGCTTGTGGTTTCATTGAGGAGGTCGGCGGCTTTCTACCCCCTGCCAGGGTGAGCGGTGGGGGAGTCTGTGGTAGCAGTCGGTTATGTAGGGGGATGGTTTTGCTGAGGGAGTGTTTTTCTTCCAGATACTACTGGCTGGTGGATTCTAATGCGTGTGCGGGGGATGCAGGCAGCCGCGTGGTGCGGGACGCTTTCTAGTACTTTCCCTGCTAGTGTCAGTTAAAAGTGAAATGGGATCGAAGGTTTTTTTTGGGGCCCGCAGTTGGGGTATGGTTGGAAGGAGGTGGTGTATCTATAGTCTGAATCGTTGGTAGTTTTTGTATTTCTGTCCTTACAGTAAGGTGGTAAGGAAAAAATGGCGGGGGGGGTGAGGGAGAAGGAGGACGGCCATTTTTTGTTTGCAGAGTGGGGGTGGGAGATAATGGGTGAAGTAGGCTGTTGGTTTCGGAGGGGACCACCGGCAGCAGTAACTCACCCTTCACACCGGTGGGATGGGGGTGACCGGTCTGGCTTTGTCGCGGGGTGGGGATGGGTCGGACGGCGAGGGATCGTTCCTCTGAATGAGTGCTCGGCCCCGCGGGGAGGGGGGTGGGGGGGGGATGGCGGGTTGTGGCGGGCGGGGGAAGGGGCCGCTAGGCAGCGCGCTCCGCGCGGGAGGGGGGCGGGCGGGGAAGGCTCTGGCAGTTTCTAGAACCTTTCTTGCTTCCGCCGAGAGCCTGCAGGGGGCGCTGCGCGGCAGCGCGTGGGGAGGCTCCTGCCGCCCGCGGGCTTGGATTAAAATCGTCTAGAGGGCAAGGGCACCGCAGCGTTAGAGCTAAGTGCAGTAGCTTATTGTTTCCTGTTACATTAGCGTTGGTGCTAGGGATTGCGCTGCTGCACTAGCGACTCGGTTCACTCCGTAGAGATTAAAGCTGGGTTGTGGTTCGAGAGGTCTTCGGTTTTCGGTTGAATCTGTCGTTCTTGAGCATTGGCTCGTACAGAGGGTAGCCTTGGCAGCAGGTTCAGTTCCCATTTTTTTGCGTAGAATGGGGTAACAAGCTCGGCTGGACCCTGTTGGCACTGGAATTGTATGGAGAGTGTATCTGAAGATAAAAGTCATATGAGCAAAAATAAGAGGTGGCTAAGATAAAAGAGAAGTACTAGTCTCCGAAATGCAGAAACGCGGATCAGTTTTTTACTTTTTCGCTATCTATACTTGTTCTGTGATGAGGAGAAG